TTCCAATGTCCCAAGTGTATGGATTTTCATGCCTATAAGAGGTGGCTTCTCATCTGCATATTCACACTGAAGGCTCGAAATGGGGCATTTTTGCGAACGGCTTGAAAATGTGGAGGAAGATATTCCTGCCTCTCACCCTGTTCTGAAGGTCAACACAGACTGAAAGGATAAGAGACAAAATCCCCCCTCCCCATTTTCAAGCGGTTTGCAAAAACACTCCATTCCGATCCTTCACCTTATCCAGGATTGCAGGATTGAAAGCATGGAATGGGGCATTTTTGCAAACCGCTTGAAAATGGGGAGGGGGGATTTTGTCTCTTATCCTGTTTTCAGTCTGTGCTGACCTTCAGAACATTTTCAAGCCGATCGCAAAAATGCCCCATTTCGAGCCTTCCACATATTCCAGGATTGCAGTATTTGAAGGATCGGAATGGCTTGAAAATGTGGAGGGGAGATTTTACTTTACATTGTGATGTCACCAAGGCCAACCCTTTTCAATCTCCCTCTTGGTGCCCGTTTTCAAGAAACAGGCTTTTGGCCACTCCGGCGCTTTGTCCGACTCCATGTCGGAGTTGGACAAAGCGCTGGAGCGGCCAAAAGCCTCTTTCTTTCTCTTTGCCTCACCAGCCATAAACCTCACCACACGTCACTGCTGCTGAGGCATATGCCAATTTAAATTGCAAGTGGGAAAAGAGTCATTGCTAAAGTAGTCTTCAGATGCTGTGCTTCTTGTTATTTCATCCACTACTTTTCATCACAGGAAATCCTAACAAAAGGCTTCCTGAAAATTCAAGCACACTAAGTGTCGTCAAAATCTTTTAGCTATTGTCTTAGTCACCTTTTAGAATATTACAGGTTCACACAAACTTATTCTGTGGATCCTGCTAAGTTGTGGCATACTGTGTTAACTCGGGGACAGCAGAGAGGCCTCAATTCATACAGAAACTTGCTGAGTCCATTAAACGTTTGCCAATTGGTAATTTGTCAAGAGAACCTGTACAGCAATTGTACAATCCGTACATGTGTATACATATACGTAGGCACACACACACACACATCTGTCTGTCTACCTACCTACATATCTACTTACATATACATACAATACACATGTTAAAAAAAGTACATGGCGTGAGCTGAATACTTGGGACAATTCTGCATTGTTTTTGCTTAAGAGATAAGACCATTTCTGATGCATTATTGAGCCAGTCCATACTGAGATTTACATTAAGTGTTCTGGACCATTTCTCAAATGGTCTCTAAAAGCATTTGTCTGAAAGCAGATGAACAACATTCAGCTTCTTAAACAAGACATGTTGTGGCTCAAGACCAGCTGACATTTAGATCCTTCTCACTGAAATATCTCTACTGTATAGCAGATGAGTAAAAAACATCCTGTACATGCATTCAAAATAAAATAAATTGATGGAAATGTTTTGATTACCCTTTTCTTTAAAGACAAGCCTGCTTAACTGATATGGACAACTACACTTTTAAAAAATGCACTATGTATAATTAATTACCACTGTACTTTGGAGTAAGATGAATTAATGCAGTGGGACTTATTTCTGGGTAAATTTCTCTTTAAATATGCTGTTTAATAGAAAGGGGAACAGATTTTATGATGAATCAAAGTGCTTTGAGTTGCTATGTGGCTTATCACCAACCTAGTAATAAAAAAAATTCAGAGGAGATTCAGGTGGCAATAATCTTAAATGACAATAGTTTTTGAAAATTCTGCTGGGTATTTATTTATTTTATTTATAAAATTTATATGCCGCCCAATCCCGAAGGACTCCGGGCAGCTTACAAAAAAGAGAAAAAAGAGAGAAAAAAAGAGAGGAAAAAAAAAACGGTTTAAAATCACAACACCACATACATTCATTCTAATCGGGGCTGGACCTCAACAGTGAGGTCAACAGCCCCAGGCTCATTCCAAAGAGTCGGAGCAGCCACAGAGAAGGCTCTCCTCCGGGGGCCCGCCAGCCGACACTGTCTGGCTGACGGCATCTGAAGGAGGCCCAATCTGTGGGATCTTACTGGCTGCTGGGAGGTATGTGGCAGTAGGTGGTCTCGAAGGTACACTGGCCCTAAGCCATGTAGGGCTTTAAAGGTAATAACCAACACCTTGAATTGCATCCGGAAACCAATTGGAAGCCAGGTCTGTCCGAATCTGAGTGATTTTATCCGACAGAAACTGAACGAACTCCTCAGCTCTTCCCTGCAGCGGTTCCCCTGCTTCCTCATCTTTCAGGAGGGAGCGGGTCACTCTAAACAGGGCAGCTGGGCGAGATTCCGCAGACGCAATAAGAGCGGAAAAATGTGTACATTTTGCCGCCCTTATCACCACTAGGTAAGTCCTGATAAAGGCTCTTAATAGTGATCGATCAGACAGGGTATCAGCACTCGGAGTTGTTTGTTAGTCTGGTACAAAGTAAGGTGAGGAACAGACAAATATCTCATGTCAAGATTGAATCACTTTACTTATTTCAAACTCTAATGCTTTTCAACATGCCAATGAAGGGGAGGGGGAGGGGAGGGGGAAATGGAATGCTGAGAAGGTATGCAGAGATCACAAGAACATAGAAACCATCAAGGTCACCACTGGAAGTTCTTGAAAAAGAGATGAACTGTTCCCATAACAAAAAGATATCTCATAATTGGACAATGTGATTACCAAATGGTGGGAAGCTATGGTTTAACATGACAAACATTTGCATGGGAAAACCAGAGCTGGTTTTGTTTCTTCAGTATCAATAGAGCGTATCCAATGAAGTTTTACTTTTGGGTGTTTCCTTGTTTCAGGTTCATTAGTCGGATAGCTGACATTTCAATTCTAGAGCCATCTTTATGATTCTGTCAGTAGCTAACAAAATGGATAGAGCCAGGATGTTCAGATTCTCTCTCCCCACCCCCTTTTTCAGTTTCTGGAAGGATTTTGGAGATTTTCACTAAAACATATCAAGCCTATTTAGCGATATTGTATTTCTCATTGGAAATCACAAAGAGGGGATTGGAAGCCACATGTGGATTGGAGGGGGGTAGGTTTCCCCCACTTATTTTCTAGGGGTGTTAGGTTGCCCTCACTTGTTTTAGAGCAGCATATAGTTTCCTTCCTGCCAACCTAGCAGTTCAAAATCAAGCAAATGCAAGTTGATAAATAGATACCACTTCACTGGGAAGGTAGCAGTATTCTGGACCCCTAGGGATATAGTCTTTGGACAATGTCTGCTCCCTCGGCTAAGAAACAAAGATGAGTATCACCCCCTAGAATCGGAGATAACTGGACAGGGGAAACTTTACCTGTAGCTTTAAATAGTTTTCGGGGAACAACTTACCACATGGCATGCATATAAGTTGGAGGTAGACGGGGGCTGCTGACAGGTGTGCAGTTATAAGACCTCATTATTCTTTCTGCCAGCAAAAAGTTTCGAAAGAGGCTTGCTACTAGAAGATCCTGTCTGAAGAGCTTTTGGAAAAGATCTGCAAAAACAAACAAAAAACTCACAAAGGATGTACCAAAAGGAAAAGCATCCACGAAGAAAGTGGCTGCTAGTGCTGGAATTAGAACATTCCAACATGAACTACTGTAAAATGATGTGTTTGTTTAATTTATATATCCATATCACCTTTGTGACTCTGGGTAACTTACGGGTAAAACATAAAGTGTTTTATGGTATAAAGTGTGCAGATTTGCATGCACATGTAATTCCTTTTGTCACTGCATTTTGCATTAACTTAAGCCTCTCAATATGCTTCAAGGGCAGCCCCGTAAAGAGTGTAGAATCTTCTGATCCAGGAATGGATATAAGTGGCGTACAACCTGAACCTGTGCAAAGGGCCTTCTAATTGCAATTGCCACCTGCTCTTTGAGCAGGAATTCTGCATCCTGAAGGACCCCAAATTTCCTATCTGGTTTGCCCGGGGAAGAGCAAAACAAAGATGGTAAAATTCCTGGATCCAGGTGGCCCCCAAACGCAAAGTCACGCAGTCTTGCCTGGGTTAAGCTGAAGCCTGTTCATCCCCATTCAAATCCCTACTGCCTCCAAACTCTTGCCAGAGGTTGTCAAAAAGCACAGCCAATGCTACCTCAGTCCCATACCCAGACATGAAATCTGATTGAAAGACGTCTAGATTTAATCCAGGACCACTGAAGCTGTTGCACAACCACATTCTCAACAATTCTCCCTAAAAAAAGGGAAGATTGGATATTGGATGAAAATTGTCCATAATGGTTGGGTACAGCAATGACTTCTTGGGAAGATCAATGCCTCTTTAAAAGGTACTGGCACCACTCCTTTTCTCAGAGATGAATTTATTACCATCGAGACCCAACAACATGTCATCTCTCTGGAAGCTTTTATTAACCAGGAAGGGCATGGATGTGATAAATAGGTGCCTGCGCTCACAGTCTTAAGAACAATGCTTGCTTCCTCAGGCCTAAAAAGGTTTGAATCCTTCCAGATGACATGACAAGAGTGTCTCTGGCATGTCCAAAGGACCTGCATCATGGCTGGCATCCAGCTGGGAGTTAATCCGAGCAATTTTGTCTGACAGATACTCTGCACACTCCATTATGTTATATATGAACTTTTAAATACATCAATGTATGTATAATTAGCTGAGTTTTCAATTCATTCGCCCCCCAAAAAAAAATTTCTACTTCAGGAAAGTACTACAAAAGTAAGGTAATTCAAGCTGGGATGGCAATACATATGTAAGCTGCAGTCGCTATCAAGCACTGAGATTTGTCCCTCCCACACGCACACACAATACATGTGAACTGCTTAAAGTGGCCTTGTAAGAAAACATGTACAGCAAGCTGACTTAACCCTGAATGGCAACAGGAGAAGAATTAAACAGGATCCAGTAGATCACATTGTTTAAATGCGTTGATCGTATCGCCAAGGTAATATGGTTAACATGCTGACCTAGTAGGAAGGGATAAATGATGAGAAGGAATAAGTAATAAGAAGGGGCACCAGACCCCAAATGGGTTTATCAAAAGTCTTCCTACGTCGTGCTGTAATTGACACTGTGTCTGTCTTTGCCTTTATCTTGCTTTTGCAATGTAGTAGGCCAAAGATATATAAGATATGGTACTGCTATTGTTTAACAAAATACCAATGCTGTACTGTACTATGTCATTCATGAGAAATAAAATTATGTTTTATCTTCAAAGTGATAAGTGATCACATGCCAAGCAACGTCCTAAACTCCTTGAGTGACTACTTCTTAAAGAAAACAGAACAGTCATTTCTGTGGGGGATGAAAGATGGGGACCAAACATGGTGATTCAGAGCTTCTGATGCTGTAAAGCAGGGGTGTCAAACTTACGTCGTCACATGACATATCGCGACTTTTTCCCCTTCGCTAAACCGGGCGTGGGCATGGCCAGCACATGGCACATCAGGCCCGTGGGCCATGAGTTTGACAGCCCTGCTGTAAAGGGATAAGATTTGGCTCAGTCTTGTTTTCCTAAACTAGTTTTTTTTCCTCTCTCTTTTTTATTTCTTGGTTCTCACTGCATCCTTTCTCCCCTTCTTGTTAGAAATTAGTTTTCTACTCCTGCCCTCTTCTATTATGATCAAGCTTTGTATATTACCAGTAATTCTGTGCACTTATCTGTCATAGTCTTTACCTCTGGGTAGGACGTTCCATGCAATTGTATCCGTGATGGCTGTAAAAATCCAATTCAATTCTCCTAGAGGCGTTCTCCTGTCATTGAGCCTCCCAGGAATTCTACAAGAAATAATGAAATTTTATCATTAAATAGAAACATACTGAAGCAATGTTCATAATGGCAAAAAATACCTATCCAATAAAAACATAAGCTCTTATTCCTCTTAGTAATAAATGAGAAAAAGGAAGTATTATGCATATTACTTGGTTGTACTGGTTTTTACTGGACTAAAAAGACAAATATTTAGTTTCATCAAGTATATAAAAATACTAGACAACAATAAAGGCCTTGCATAATTCAGAATAAGTGCTAATAAGCAAACAGGGGAATACTTTTTATGTTTTTTCCCTCCTAATATTATAGTAAGGACGAATTACATGCTAAATCACTGATTATATTGACTAATAAACTGTTGAATCTTTTTGAAAATGAGCATCTTGGGAAGTAAGGGAACACTGAATAAATTGTACAATGAGGCTTTTGCATTTTAGAATGCAAAATATAGAAAAGACTGTATCACTAATCTAAAAAGCAACCTCATAAGGAATATAGCAATACAAGATTATAATAAAAACCCATTCTTCCAATTTTCCAATTATGAGGATATTGGAAAAAGAAATACAATATTTTCTTCTGAAGTAAAATTTCAGTTTAAATAGAAAACATTAAGATTGTGATTTGAAGTCAGCAAAGAAACTGTTCATTTTGTGGTATATATTTGGCTGCCTCATAATCAGACAGGAATCAGAGGGTTGATTTAGTAATTGCACCTCACGTCACAGGAAGCCATCAACATGTGCCCTCCTTCTCTTAAATTTCAATGGGTATTTATTTTATATACTTGAAAAAACAAGTGTCACTAATCAGTTCCCAGCATGATGGCTTCCAAAGTAATTGCCTTTAACCCGTACTGTTCATTTGAGGCGTGGCAGAAACTGAATCAACACAGATTCAGACCTGAGAATTTGTGCTAAGAAATCAGTTCAAGTCTATGAACATTAAAATATTTACCCTCCCTTGTCAATTATATAAAATTGAAAATGGTTCATGTCATATTTTTTGGCTGATTCTGCAGTTACTCTAGATTATATGGAATATATTCATTAATAGGATCTCCAACCCAGTGTTTTAAAAACATGCATTCTAGGCAAGTCATTTCTATATGTCAAAAAGTCTATGTTCTCTGCAAATCTCTTGTGCGTGTCACCTGCAAGTGGATGGAAGATCCCTATTTCTACTGAGAGAGAAAAATAGTAATTAGTCTTATTCTGTCCAAGAGAAAACAATAGAGATACTCCTCAATTTACAACCACAATCTTGATTGTTCAGCAAAGTGGTCATTAAGTGATATGGCCTATGATCGCCCATGGGACTACTTCACTCAACAGCTGCAACTCTGGCACTTGAGATTGAGGTTGTTAAGTGAACACAGTTCCAGATGAGGAGCATGGGATGTCTTGGGGGTAGGGGAGATCCTGGGAGGCTCCACCCAGGAGCTGAAAATCCTCCCTGTCAAAATCCATGGGCATCCCAAGGCCGCTGTCACCCCATAAGACACCCCTTTCCTTACTATGCTGCTCCTTCCCCCCAGGCAGATGGGGTAAGCCCTAGCACAAACTGTGCGTAAGAATCTCCCTGCTCAGGAGGTGAAAATCCTCTCTGCCAAAATCCAAGCAGCATGGTACTGAAGGTTGCTGAGAAGTCAAGAAGAGCAAGATTGGATGTACTGTCACCCCCATCCTGTTCTTGCCGTAGGTCATCAAAAAGTACAGTCAGCGCTGTCTAAGTCCCAAACCCAGGGCTGAAACCCATCTGAAAGGGATTCAAATAATCTGCCTCATCAAGGACCCTCTGAAACTATTGCACTAAAAAGGGAAGTGGTTACTGGATGAAAATTTTCCAGAATGGCTGGGTCCAGTGCTAGCTTCCTGAGGAGAGGGAGGACCAGCATCAAGTAAATACAGTGACTTAAGGCATGAGTCCGTAATCTTTGGGCAAACATACAGGATTTGGAGAATAATCTATGAGAATTTTTACAAAATAACTACCACCAAATATATAGGATGAGGAGATTGCTGGGTGCCAAGGAACATTTTAGTGGACACTCTGTTACCCTTGGGCACCACATGAGATACCCAGGAATCAAGGATATCATCTGCCTCTGGTCCATGCAGTTGAGTTGGGGTTTAAGGACTGAGTTTCTACTGTTCTAGACCAAGATGTCAGGAATATATCTAGATATAAAGCGTGTTAATCCCTCATCATCATTTGTTTAAAAAACCAAAAAGTCCTTTTACATTCAATGCCAGATTTTCCCAGCTGGGGTTCTATAGAACCCCTGGTTTCCACTCCTGAGGAGGGGAGGTGTCTGTGAGAAATTGTGACTGAAACAAAATAAACATTATCTGAACTTTGCACAATGCTAGCACTGGTGGTGGGGTTTTTTACATGCTGTAACTTATTTTACTAATCATGCTAACTTGAGCTGTAGATATAATTTTAATGTAGACCTGAAAATTATTTCAAGGGTTCCTCCAGGGTAAAAAAAAAAAAAAGGTGGAAAAAGGCTGCCTCCATGCAAAGTAACTCAGATATATCTTGAATATCTAAAAACAAGCAACTCTTCAGGGAGAGAGAAGCCACTTAATACATTTTTTTTACATATTTTCACAGTATGTTTTTGAAGGTTGTTGATCAAACTATTTCCCGAACACTATAAATTGTGAGATTACTTGCTGTTTGTATGAATTAACTGCTGATCATGTCTGTTGCACAGTTCAATTAGTATAACAGATATAATTCTGGTCGTTTTCAAATAGCTACCTACTTATAATCCTTGCTACTGGCCATATTCGTTGGGAACAATCTAGAGCCCAAAACATTTTGAGACAATTTGGTTATCTGCTGTTACAACTTACAAATCACTGTTCCATAAAAGCCTCTAATTATCAAATGGGATCACATTACCCACTAATCTTATAAAAATCAACAGTTTTTCCTATGGGATCATTCATCAAAAGACACCCCTAGTGATTTGTGTGGAATGAAATGATTGAAGTGGAACAATCTCCTTTGTTCCAATGAGTAAGGGATGCTTTGTGCTTTTAATACCTCCAGTGATCTATTTTTTTCCATAGTCTATCAAACAATTCCACTTTTGGAACTAAATTCTTCTTTGTAGGAACAGTTGTGGTGAAGAATCAAAACTAACTAAATTAATGCAAAAAAATTGACCATATTAATACTCAGGACTCCGTTTGGAGCTAATACGACATAGCTGGCAACATTTCAAGATAAGCTGTAATGAAAATCACTAAAGCATGCATTCAAACCATTTAAGAAGTGCAAATGCAGAGGTGGAAATATAAATCTATCTCATTACAATCATACATATTACAATGACTCTTTTGAAAATATAATAAAAAGTAGACACAAGACTATCCTAAAACGTTGCAACTTAAAGTGATATAGCCAAACAGTTACATACACATCTCTTTATAAGTTACATATGCTATCACAGTACTATAATCAATGCACCTAGTCCCAGAATAAACCTACCAAACAACAGTCAAACATGCTCTTCAAATTTACATGGATGTGAGTTTCATGCCACTTCAGTCCAGCCAACTCTAACAGCTATCAGAATACAATTAACAACATACAAGAATAATGTTTTTAAAAATCACAATAATTCCAAACTCTTTAAAACTACAGCATCATCTCTTATTATCAGGAAACATTCCAAGCACACAACTGCTTTGTTCCTCCAAAACTTTGAAACACTGAGGTCTTCACATGTTTCTTGAATACTGATATGCCCGGTTTAGCGCACATTAGGAACGCTATAGCTAATACCCAGCTTCTGTATGACAGAACAGTTTTCAAGGTTCTACTTTTAATTTTTTTATTTTAACTTGCTGCGGTTTTTGGCCTTTTCTCCAAACCGTTTCTCTTTTATCATTACAACAAATCCCTATTTCTCAGGATGCTACTTATAATTCCTTTTACTAGCTGCCCTAACTCTGAGCTTCTTATTTCCAGCTTTCCTATCCTTTGGGATCTCTTGGCAGTGTTCAGCCTTTTTCCAATGCTGCCCATAGAAGCTATATTAGTTTTCAGTTTAAATAAACTGGTTACTATTTTTTTCACTGAAGACTGACAGTTAGAATACTTGTAAATATTTCATGCCATTACTCCATTTCAGCTAATCTTGCCAGAGCCTTTACTGTCACCAGTGCAACACAACATAGACATTTAAGAACAGTTCAGCGAGTTAAAAAAAAAGTTAAAAATTTAAAAATAGTGCAGTATATTTCATCTTTTGGATTCTAGGTTTTTTGCTGGGTCTGTGGTAGATATAGTGGCAACTCAACAATGCATGCAGCTCTATCAATTGTCTGTTATCATATTTGATGTCCAAAACCAAACACTGCCTTTGAAACACACTATAGTTATCTGATTTTATTCCTGACCATCAATTAATATTGACATGTAGAAGATATTTTGACATATTTCAATCTTTCAAAGAAAGAAAAACTGGATCTCATTTTCTTTCATGTGACTATTTGTCTCCCAAAAATACACTAAAGATGTGTATTTTTAAAAGTTATTTACAATAGTTGCAAGCCAATTACCCATCAATGGAGCCAATAATCTAGCAAGTCTGGGGGAAAAAACCCAAACAAAATACACCAGTCAAGTATATGACAACCAGATGGTCAACTAATTATTGGGGGGAAAGGCACTTTATATTATCTGGAAATTTTTGGGTACATAAGACCTAGGAAAATAAGTAGATAATATGGTTCAAGCCGTAAGGAAAATGATACTCCCTATTTGCTTCTTCCACCAACTACTACTGACAGCCTGCCCTATGGACCGCTGTGGCATAAGAATTAGAGAAATGCAGGGTCACTAAACAGCTTGTGTCAGGTATTACAGACAGCTGAAAATCTAGCTGTTTTTTAATGACTCACTCTAATCATTGTGGAAGTACCTGACATTGAGAAAAGTCACATTTTCTCTCTTTATCTGAATCCTAATTATAAATTTATACAAG